GAATAGAATAGAATAGAATAGAATAGAATAGAATAGAATAGAATAGAATAGAATAGAATAGAATAGAATAGAATAGAAACCACCTTTATTGTCCCACAGAGGGGAAATTTGGGTGTAACAGCAACAGCAATCCACAAAACAATACTGTATATTGCTGTGCAACATTTTCAATAGTAGCGATGATAGAATTTAAATAATATTAAAAATGAATAAAATTAAATAGAAATACTGTACAACAGTACAGTATTTATATACTGTAAAACAGTAGAAAACGGAGAACAGTTCTCCGCATATTCAAGATCATCCAATTACGTCGGGGTCAMCAATTTGTAAGAAAACCATGATCAGAATTGGAGTTGGAATAAGTTTGCAGAAAACAAGTTGACTCTCTTCTAAAACTCTTTATTATAAAAATCTGAACTCCAGTCCAGCTCACAACCCTTCAGTAAAAAAAGTCTAGCGTGCTAACAATACCTTGTGCTGCATWAAAACTAAGGATCGCGTTGATCTGACTGTTCAAACAAAACAGTGTAAGTTATTCTAACTTGACTAATGAAACATTGAGCACAAAGAAGAGAACTGTGGGATTCAAAAAGCACCCTTTATTCAGCGAAACAGAATCTGTCAACAGTAAACTGTACGATTTAATCATTATATGTAATCTAAACTATTTAGATTTGATGTTTTGAGAACAACCAGACTACCAACACTGTACACCATCTGAGGGAGGCAGGCTCTGACAAACTTACTGAGGTAAAAACAAAAAGGAAACAATAAATGATTAAAGTTCAAGTGGATCCACCTTACTCTGAGCCAAAACCACCTGGATCCACCCTACCTTCTCCAGAGCCTCTCGCTCCAGCAGGTCCTGGACCGCCAGCAACTTGATTCTGCAGAGACAGAGACAGAGGAATTTATTATTAATGAACCAAACATTTTACTTCAAAACTACTCAAAGCAACAGTCAGAACCTGTTTCAGTGTCAAGACTTTTCAATGTTTTTGCTGAATACAAGGCGTTCTGCTTCTTCTTCAGCCAAAGTTTCAAAAAGATTGAATTAAATAGAACAAACGTATGATTTGACTGAAGATTTAAAGTAGAATATTTAGTTTAAAATCAGGAGTTGGTCCCTGTTTGAACCTACAGAGGAGATAACTTCTGATGCAGAAACRTTCGGGTCAATATTCCAAATGTAAAGTTTTATCCTACAATCAGAAACACAAAYTTTCCCCTCAGTAAAACAAACAGAGCTGAGAAACTCTAACTCTTCCTGAACTCACCGTGTTTTATCACCTTTACAATCCAATAAACTTTTATTTGTTTATGTTTCAAATCATCTTGCAGACCAACAGTCAGCACAGTACCAGCAGTAAAGTTCTGGCCTTTAACAGGTCACTCCAATCATCTCAGCAAACKACACAGTTTTAATGGTACCGGTTGTTGTGTTCTCAGGGCTTCGTTATTTCTGCACCACATCATAGTGGTCATAAAATAAGACCAAGAACAAGCAGCTGGTGGTCAGGTGAGATCTGAGATTAGAGCTGAGAGTGGAACAAGAGGTTAATGAATGAAAGAAGCAGGATCTTGGAGATGATGTCATATTTGATGGACAGCCAGTGTGTCTGCCGTAGGACTGGTGTTATTTGGCTGATGGACGGGGTTCTGGTGATAACAGCAGCACAGCTCTGAACTATGTGAAGTTTATGGAGGAGCTTGTCAGATWAAGAAAACAGATGTGAGCAGAGTTTGGACTAGAACAGCTTGGCTGTTGGCTGAAAGACATGGATGCAGGAGGGAGGTGTTGTGTAGAAGTAAACTGAGTGACATCATGGAAATGGGAGAGAAAACAACCCACACTCTTAACCTGAGGAGTCAGAATGAGGCTGAACTGTGTTCTATACCAAATATATTTGTGGGTCTGTGTGAACTGTAGCTACAGGTTCCTGTTTTGATCGGACAGATGTGGTAYCAGGTGTGGTACCTTGATGTAAAATGGTCTAAACTRCTAGAATTTACTAAATAAACAATACGCATTATATTATATATCAATATTACTGTACATAAAAGTAAATGCTAATATTATTTTACCAGTAATATTGAAGTGTTTTTTCTGGACAGCACATAAACATGAATATATKAAGTAACTTCTACTCTTCTGGACTAAAACTGAGGCTGCATGCACACAAAGGCTGCTGCTCCTCATTCCCTTGCTTCACTTTTCAAGGAGAGGACAAGACATGGTGGAAATAAAACATAAGTTGTCTGCTTTCTTTTGCTTGAATACATTTGTTGGTGTGCAATAGTTTGATGACATAATGTAGGTGATATTTAGTTGTCAGGGAACAGGGAATGCATATTGTAGCATTCTGCTGTGTTTGGCTGTTTGTCATGTGACTGCAGTGGAGGATTGTGGGTAGGATTCATGTTTGTTGTTGTTAAATCATTTTAGGGAATTGGTTAACATTGTTCTTTCAGCAATTAGTCTGTTGTGTTACTGTAATTTGTGTGTTCATTATTTGTTAACTTGTGTTAAAGCGTTCAGCAGAAGTAACCATAAGTGAGAGTGGTAGGCCTAGTCATTAATAAGACCTGTGAGTTTCACTTTGTCTGTGTTGTTCATGAAGAAGAATCCAATAAAGGTTCTTCAAAACTGCCACCTGGTGGTGAAGTCTTGAACTACAACAAGAGCTACACCTCTCTCTGTAGCTGTGAGGTGTCATGATACAATATTGTGCTTGATGCATGTGCACTGTTATAAAGAACTTGTAAGATTTAATAGAAAAAATCCTGTAAATAATTTGCACTAATGTTTATGTAAATTTAAATGCTACAAATTCATGTAATATTTACTCATCATTATCTGGTAAAAATTATCAAGGATATATATAAAKATTTGTAAATAAATCAGGTAAATTTTACTTAATTTGCTCAGTTAAATCTTGTAATATACACTTGATCAAATTAAGTAAAATTTACCTGACTTATTCACAAATCTTTAACTATCTTCTTCATAACTTTTACTAGATAATGATGAGTAAATATTACATGAATTTGTAGCATTTAAATTTACTTAACAAACGCTAGTACAAATCGCTTGCAGGATTTTCTCTAGTAAATCTTACAAGTTATTTTTTACAGTGCAGAATAAATTCCTGTATGTTCAAATGTGAGGAGGGTCACCATCTGCAGACCATACACTGCCCCCCCCCCAATACTGATCCCCCTTGTTTGTCAAAATATCCCACTAAAATAACCTGAGTATTTACAAAAAGTATTATTTAAATGATACAATTAACCAGAGGGCTAAAACTACCTTTTTGTATTTAATTGTGTCATTTTTGTCTAATATTAACATTTGTTTGATGATCTGAAATGTGTAAGTGTAGCAAACAAACAAAAAAATAAAGAAGCAAAAAGTGAGAGGTTAAGGGACGAAAGAAGCAGGATGTCCTCACCACATCTTACCAGCAGACCCACACGCACACAGTCTGTGTTTGCTCTGTGACTACCTGTCAGCTCAGGCACTAAACAGAAAACTAAAGGAGCTTATTTAGCTGTTAACAGAAGTCAGCTGCATGATGCTCTTTAATGCATGTGTCACACGGGACACACAACACGGGTCAGAACCATGCAGAGCTGCAGATGAAGGACATTTATCAGCATGTTTGCTGTGTGAGATAACATCAAAGGTTATTGGGTCTAATTTGTATTTGTTAAGTGAAGGAAGCAGGAAAGGAAAAGACTGAGGAGGGTTCTGTTTGGACCCGGAACATTAAGACTTTTTGTTCATTTGTGGAAAAAATAATACATCTGCTTTATTAGAACTGGCCCGCTGCGTGGAAGCAGCTCGTAATAAAACACTGCAACAAACTGACTGACTGGTATTCTTTAAGAGCTGCTCTCATGTCTGGGAATAGTAAAAACAGACCTACAGAAACCTGCAACACCGTTTACAAAAGGAAATGAGATAAAACACATTTACAATTTAAAGCAAGGTCATCAGGTTCTGTTCAGACACAAATAATAAACAGACTCTTATTCTGAAAGGCAGGTAGGTGACGTTACAGGAAGAAGCTTCACTGTTGCTCCTGTAAACAGCCCTAAAGTTTCCAACACATTAACCCTTTCCTCTCCTGTGAAGTCAGAGGAGAGACCATATAGGTTTGGACAWGTCCAAGGAACAGTGGGTAAATTATATACTGCAGCTGAGACTAACTAGGAGAGGAGAAGCAGAGAAGTAGGTCTGACAGCCTGATTGGGACAACAACTGAAGAACAACTGAGAGAAATAAACTAAAACAAACTAGAATCCAAAGAGAAGTAACAAATCACAAGAAACACTAATCCAAAACACAGGACAAAACCTTAAATAAACTAAACTCAAAACAAAAAAATTGATGACAATGCATCCTGGGATATCGTCAGCTGTGAAGGATACTCTGCAGTTATCATTTTCAGGTTGTGTGTGCTGCAGGRGAAGCAGCCTGAGTAATGACACAGCATTCAGTGTGATGCAGTGAGGTAAGCAGTCTAAAAATGAGCCCTAYAAAGGACGCAGCCCCTGAACTGTGACACAGCAATGATGTGTTCAGAGGTGGTCTTCTGCAGATCTTTGTAACGAGTGAGGTGAGTCTGCCCAGTCYCCTCTGACCTCTGACATTAACAAAGCTTTACTGTCCACCTAACTACATATYATCTCTTTAAATCATGAAGTTGGTTGTGTGTGAAAATCCCAGTAGATCAGCAGTTTCTGAAATRCTCAGACCAGCAACCACTGCACATTAAATCCTGTTTCTTCCTGTTCTGATGCCTGCTTTAATGATTGGTTTTATTACTAATTTGATAGTTTGTTTGATGACTGGTGTACTAGCTGGTCTGATGCGTGGTTTGAGGCCTTGTTTGATGGCTGGTTTGATGTATAGTTTGATGCATTGATGATGGCTGGTTTAAAGACTGGTTTTATGACTAATTTGATGGCTGGTCTGATGGCAGGTTTGAGTCCTCATTCGATGACTGGTAAAATGACTGGTGTGATGCCTGGTTTGGTGCCTGGTTTGATAATTAGTTTGATGTCTGGTTTATTAACTGGTTTGATGACTGGTCTGATGGCTGGTTTGAGTCCTCGTTCAATGACTGGTGTGATGCCTGGTTTGGTGCCTGGTTTGATGATTAGTTTGATGTCTGGTTTATTGACTGGTTTATTGACTGGTTTGATGACTGGTCTGATGCCTGGTTTGAGGTTTTGTTTGATGTCTGGTTTTATGTCTGGTTTGATCATTAATTTGGTATCTGATTGATGCCTGGTTTATTGACTGGTTTATTGACCGGCTTGGTGACTGGTTTGAGGCTTTGTTTGATGACTGGTTTGTTGACTGGTCTGATGCCTGGTTTGAGGTTTCGTTTGACGACTGGTTTGTTGACTGGTCTGATGCCTGGTTTATTGACTGGTTTATTGACTGGCTTGGTGACTGGTTTGAGGCTTAGTTTGTTGACTGGTTTGTTGACTGGTCTGATGCCTTGTTTGAGGCTTCATTTGATGTCTGGTTTGATGATTAGTTTGATGTCTGGTTTATTGACTGGTTTGATGCCTAGTTTATTGACTGGTTTGATGACTGGTCTGATGCCTGCTTTGAGGTTTCATTTGATGGCAGGTTTGATGATTAGTTTGATGTCTGGTTTATTGACTGGTTTGATGCCTTGTTTATTGACTGGTTTGATGGCAGGTTTGATGCCTTGTTTATTGACTGGTTTGATGGCTGGTCTGATTCCTGGTTTGAGGTTTCATTTGATGGCAGGTTTGATGATTAGTTTGATGTCTGGTTTATTGACTGGTTTGATGCCTTGTTTATTGACTGGTTTGATGGCAGGTTTGATGCCTTGTTTATTGACTGGTTTGATGACTGGTCTGATTCCTGGTTTGAGGTTTCATTTGATGGCAGGTTTGATGCCATGTTTATTGACTGGTTTGATGACTGGTTTGATGGCTGGTCATCTGCCCCTACATACCTGAAGCCTGTCGTGTGATTGGCTGATTAGTTATTTCTGTTGTATCTAATAAAGTGGCCTCTGAGTTAAATGTATAAAATATACATGGTACTAAAT